GTTCATAGCATAAGATGAAGACTCAACGAGGTGAACTTCCAGCTGAGATTACGCTTGGCTCTATGTGCCTTTGTCATTCGTGTCTGTTGACTCTGCGACACCTTTTTGGTCATCTTTAATTAACAAAATGCGTAGGCGGTCTAGTTTTGTTGCATCCATGGAGCTGATTTAGCCCATAACGGCACCACAAAAAAGCGCTTTCTTGTGGTGTCGTTTTGCTCTAAATACGCACTATGGCATCGTTAATTAGTTGTGTTCAAGTCTGATAAAGATAATGTGAACGTTACGGGCCCGATAATAAGTGTGAATATCAAATAAGCATTCACAATTGTAACGTTAAGCTGTTGCACTTTATGTAATACCTTAGAGGTGTAGAGATAGCCTACGTGTGAGGAGGGCATGTTAACCCTTTCACGTTCATGGTAGGCAGCAGAGTGTGTGGCCTTCCATACCCTCCCGGCTATTTCCCTCTATCTTTGAAAGGACAGCCTTTGTCAAAGTTGGCCTTGCACTGCTGTGAGCATAGACCCATTCCATGTTTGTAAACACAGGTAGGCCGATGTCGACATTATGGGGCAAAATTATATAGAGCAACGTCCGCACGTAGCTTCCGCCATAAGCGCTGAGGGCTGCGATGTGCGCCTACAAACGAATCTAAGTTTTGAGACACGGCCCACATCCAACCGTGACGCAGTTCGTCGGCATACCGTTTTTTTTTTTATCGTTGCTTGACTGAGAACACCACATGCACCACTGAAAATCCAGCAGAAACTGCGGTAGGCAGAGCGTCTTTTGCCTACCAAGACAGTGCGACCGCATTTTCGTGAAGTAAATCCGGTGAAATTTGTCTATAGGTGCACTTCTGTTCCGTAAGAAGCCAAAGGGCTCCTACTTTATAAGAACCAGACGAGACACGTGAGCTCGTCAGAGCTGTCTTATTTTTAGAAGCGTAAAGGCATACTTCCGAAAACCAGAACAAAAAAGCTGGTGATAAATGTTTAGCTAAACTATCTCTTGCGCTAAACAAGACAGAGATAAGGTACCTGGCCGCGCAGATCTTTATCTTGTTCGCTCAACGTGTGGTCTTGCTTCATATATATATATATATATATATATATATATATATATATATATATATATATATATATATATATATATATATATATAGAAAGAGAGAGAGAGAGAGAGAAATGGCGGCACAATCATAACCCATAAATTAGATTGGGGGGAGGATAGCCGCCGTGGTTTCGCTCAGTTCGTAGTGCATCGGACGCGTTATTCGAAGGACGCAGTTTCGGTTTTCATTCTCTTTTTTGTTCTAAAATATCGCCTTTTTCCATTAGCATAAGTATCTATCAGTCCTCAACAATATTGTTTCTAACGAAGAAAAAGAAGCCCTTAAGGTCACCCTTCTTTCGTGTGTGTGTGCGTGCGTGCGCGTGTGCGTGTGCGTGCGTGCGTGCGTGCGTGTGCGTGCGTGCGTGCGCGTGCGTGTGCGTGCGTGCGTGCGCGTGCGTGTGTGTGTGTGTGTGTGTGTGTGTGTGTGTTTAATTAACGCGCAGTCAGTATGCGCTTGTCTTGCAAATTTCCTGGTCTTGTCTTTATTTTTTCGGGCTATTTATCCTTCATTATTTACCAACTCAACAACACAGCGTCCTTCAAACTCCGTCTTTCTGTCTCTTAGTTACTCAGCCTCGAGCAAGTTCAGCTTTGTTAGGTGCCAAGTAGCTTAGTAAAGAAGCTTGGATGAGTAGGTTGGGAGGGGGTGGGTAGGGGGTAGTGGAGTAGGTGCGAGTTCGAATCGGAGCTCATGATTCCGGCATTAGTCATCGCCAGCTCGTTCCTGGCTTCGAGGAATGCGTGACGGGTGCACTATTGGATCGATCGTTTCACCCCGAGCTCTATCGTGCCCTGGCTTTGTACGTTCACGTAGCCAGGATCCCGCGGAGACAAAGGGCAACTGTTGGTGGAATAGGAAAGGCCCCCGAGATGAGAGAAACGGGATAACGCAATAACGAAGCTGGAGTAGCGATAGGAACAGAGTGCGCCTGCAGTCGCCGTGAAAGCGAAGGCGCATAACGCGATCAGCCGGCATCGAGGGGGAGAAGGTCGAGCGAGGGCGCGATTTGCTTCGGCCGGCGGCGTTGCTTTGGCGGCGTCTCTCGGGAAACGCCGTACGCGCTGGCACGCGCTGCGTGGCGCCGTAGCCCGCTGTTGAGAGCCGGATAAATGGGAGCCGAGCGAAAAAAACTTCATAAAATAAGAGCTTACGTTAATCCACCCACCGGCGAGGCCATTTTCTCTTTCGGAACCATATACTTTCCTCCATATTTCTTTACCCGACCCGACTGACGTGGATATAAAGCTATTTTTTTTTTAACGTCAGAAAGCCGGCCCCATTAGCTTTGCGTGTTATGCAAAAGCTTGAATGTGTCACTTATGTACCCGAACAGGTTAGCAACATACTTTGATATCGAATATACCTATAAAAAACTACGCGAAATTTCACGAGCGTACCACCTCATACCATAAATACCCCTCTCCCGAAAACTTGTACTGATGTCAAAAATAACATTTGGAAGCGTAAATATTTAAGCCAAATCTACGTTTGCATACTCAAAAGACATTTTATTTACGTAACAACTTTTCGATGTAATCATCTATCAGATAATAACAGATGAACTGCTCGCCAATGCAGTGCATGAAAGGTCCTTGTCTCACAAAAACTTGACTTCTTTTCATATAGTCCGTCTTCTGGTTCCTCTAAACATACTTGACTGCTCTACATATGTATACAACATACTAACCTAACCTAATGTGCACATGAAACAAATACGCACAAGTACTGTGTGCATGAAATGCGTTCTTCAAGGTTATAATATTATGAAAAAAGAATAAAAAACTTGGAACAAAACGATATGAAACAGTATTACTAACGCACTAGCATTAAAGAGCTCATTTTGCAGAAACGCAGTGTCGACATCGTTGGTGGTGAGCGAAAAGCCATCTTATGTATGGCCAAAAAATCGAGTAAGATAAACATAAAATAAATAATAAAAACATTCGGCTGTAAGCGATAATCAAAACCATGTTGTCTGCGGGGCGAGCGGGTGTTGCACCACAAAAGTACGTCATTGCGTCAATGTGCACTTTAACAAACGAAAGCGCTGTATGAATGTTATGTAGTGTAAACAGTCTTCTTAACGCATGTAATATTGCGGAGCACAATCCTAGAACCACACAAGGCGTCAACACATGTCAAGTGCGCAAGAATTGCCCACCCATAGCAAAATGTTCGGCTGCGCAAGTGCACGTGGCACCTTACAGAAGCGTAGTGGGCATTTCGCCAATTAGCTAAAGGACTATGACGTAGTGGGCACTTGGCAACTGTACGCTGAGTAGACCAGAGGCGTAGCTTGGGCCCCATGGCACACTGGGCCTGTGACCCCCCCCCCCCCTCACCAATTTGTTTTCACGCTCTTTCGCCCCCCACCCCTCTACGCAAAAAAAAATTGATGCCTATGGGCCTGCAGTAGACATTCTGGGAAAGCTTATTACGACCGACATTACGCTTGAAGGCAACGCTGTCCGATTATGCTGTCCCGTTTTAACCTTAAACACGGAGCTCAAGCGTCCTTCAAGTTTTACGGCTCAGAAGTTCAGCTTCGTAATGTTGTAGTACAATAAGCATTAACCGCACCATCGGGAGACATTAAATGGCCAGAAAGTTGTATATTTTTTATTTATATTTGGCAGAATATAGGAAGGTAATTTGACATGTATTCTATGTGACAGTTATGGCCTCGGACATACAGATTCACTTAATTTTTTTTTATTTATTTATTTATTTAGGAGCCTGCTTGAAGTACAGGCGGAGAATATTAGCACTGCTGCGATAAAGAGGGTGTGTCCCAGCTCCATAGGAACTGAAAGAAAGTTTACTGTAAGCACATCATTTTCATTTCACGCGCACAAACTGATTACTGCCCCATGTATGGATGTTTTACGACACGATACCCCCCGAAGCATCAGAAATAAACTGCCGGGACTGATGCGGAACCGTGCAACCCGCATCCCCCTGGCCTCCAAGCTGGCAGATCATCAGCCACACTCGGTGGCTTAACGGTTGGACCTGTGTAATGCTACCCGCCTCGGTCAAGGGCAAGATGACAGCCGAGCTCTGGGCGCGTCGCGTTCCCTGGCATATCCTCGAGGGGCTAGAATGATTGCAATAAGGTGCCACATGGGGAAACCGGCGCGCCGCAACATTTTCGCTTAGGAGCTCTACATACTTCTATGCAGCACAGCAGATGCCGTGAGGCCGACGTGATATGCGCCTTGTTGCCCGATGGCGTCTATGCCGTTATAAGGATCGCTTCGTTGGCGACATGAAGCACTCACGATAGCAGAATTCTTACTAAGACGCCCGCTCGAGACTTAAAACAAAACCATTTTTCTTTACCCCTGACATGATTTTAACAGCTATTAAGTTTTTCTTCCAATCTACAAGTTGACAAACTATACTCTAGAACCTTTGTTTAACGTGCTTCATAACCACGTGTTGTATATGTCACCACGTAATCGCGAAACCGGATAAGAATAAGTCTCTATCGTAAATACCAACCGGGCGAGCTAATTTCAATTTTCAGAGGTATTTAGAAGAATACCATGACATGTATGATTATGCCAGTCAAACACACTGAGCAGAAGTACTTCTGTAACATTCCATGGCTTACGTTTCGCATTGACAAAATATGAACTCCGAACTTCCCCTGAGGGAAATGTGTTTTTTATTGGGTAACGCAGTGGGCTAAGTTATGTTGTTTTACGACAAATATGCGAATGTGCTACGCTGCAATGTAACGATGTAACATGACACTTGGACCACTCACTGAGCATTGCACGAAACTATACGAAACAAAAGGCTACCCTTCAGCTCGTCTCGAAGCAATGCCAAGTGTGGGTCGCATACGGAAGCGTCGTTACGTGTTGTCTGGCAGGGCGCCTGGAAGCCGTGAAGGAGGGTACCCTGGCAGATGGAACGCCTCCAAGCGTCGTGCATTGGGGCTGTCTCGCCAGCTTGATGGCTGTGTCGCGCCTTGTTCAAGCCGGTGCACCAGGACGGACAAGGTGGCGCAGAACTCGCGGGGAGGCATTGGACCAAAGAGAAAACAGGGTTCGCCGACACCCGAGTGGTTTGCGGGGAAGCCCAACACACCGAACCAGAAGCGACAGGCCGCTCTCGCTAGACAGCAGAGCGACAGCTTTGTTTTCCCTGCTTGAGAAGGCCAGTGCTTGTAGCCGCGGATTCCAATCCCAACTTGAGCGCTAAGCGCCGCACAGTGGTCAGGATGGAAAAGACGGGAGAGGTCCGCGTGAAGTGGTTTACTGTTGCTTCTTGTTTTCTTTTTTTTATGTTTTATTCCTTCGAAGCTTAGTGAAGGGCAAGAAAAAGGCAAAACAAGGGGCAGGGCTTAGCGCAGAGATGGGAGAGAGCCCTCCGAGATGACGTGCCCCCGCTCGGACTGCAATCGAATGAATCAGGACCTGGCGTTTCTGAAAGGTCTGCGTGGGCATCTCTTGGCTTTGTCAAAGCCTGGCTCGGACGGAAGTGGGCACCGCGAAGGGAAAACAAAAAACGTGCCCCTCACCGTCTCGTCCCTTCTCGCGAGTTGAGCTCAGCTGGCGCACGCTTCCGCTTTTTGGAAAGAATTTGGTCAGTCGCTGTCACCATCTCGGTTTCAGAGGCGTTGAGATGAGGACAGCTTTTCTTTGATAGATGCGTCCTATCCCTTGGGAAAACTCTCAAAACGTTCTCAAATGTATATATGTGCAGGCGACCGACGAACAGGCAACTCTGTCTCTTTCAATACACTTCGCTTTGTGAAATACCGTCCGAAATTGTAATTTTAGGCTTTTTTTCCTTTCCTAAAAAAACCATCTTCCTTTTGTTTTATGTCTGACAGAAGAAAGAATGAAGCTAGCTAATATAGACATTAATGTTTTAATATTAATGCGCTTGAAAAAAAAATTTCAGATAAATGTACAATAGTGACTCTGCGGAATATTTCATTTTCCAGTTCCTTCTTATTCTCAGAGAAAAGCGCACGTAACCCACTTCCCATGTTTGATCTTCATGGTATGATTGTATATTGATGAATAATTTTTATCTCAAGATATGCGACGGGGATCGCAGTGCATCCTGTGAGCCGACGATATTCCTTCCACTAGTTGTTTAATAGGTAAATGCGCTTCTTTGTTGTCGAGTACTACGCTAACATTCCAGCGTCAATAAGAAGGCTGTAAGGACAGATCCTCACAGCCTCCTGCCCCATTTTGGTGCACGCTTAATATAAATACGATCGCCTTACCAACCTCCCTCGTGAGATGTGCATGGGTGCTCATCCTGAAAAGCTGTGACCACTCTCTGGACTGCACGCATCCTGGTCTATAAGTCTCGCCTATACCGAGTAAAAGCGACATCATTTTCACCCTCGCATGGCTCCCCCTTTCCCGCCATCTAGATCCCTTTCCCGACTGTAGAGCTTCGAAAGCCTCCCTGCTTTCCCGTTATATTAAGCTTCACAGTCAGAGAGGCTTTAATTAGAAGTGAAACCTTTAGTGGCGCTTAATCACCAGGAAAGGAACTACGACACAGCGCTCAACTCATTGGAGCAACAGCGTCGCGGAAACAGGGCGGGCACGTTACAACGTTTCCCTTTCTTCTCTCCCTCGTACTCAATGGTGATGCTCTGGTGAGCTGCTGCAGCAGCGTGCGGCTACTAGCAATAGTCGCAGTGTCTTTCCTCCCGCGAGTCTCTCGAGACCATCTTCATCCCGAGGCACTAACGCCGCGTCCCTTCACCGATGGATGAATGCATAGCGCTGCGCCAGCTTTCCCGTCCAAGCAGCCGAGAGAGGTGGCCACTGATGACGCACACGCTCTCCCCTTTAGCGCTTTAAATGCAGAGTGGTGTAGTGTAGTAGCGGTCGTGCTAAAGTCGAGGCCCCGAGCGGCGTGGTTAGAAAACTTTCACGCACGAGACCGCTTAGGATGCGTGTGGCCGAAGCCGTCACGCTAGAGGCCGGTTTTGAATTTACGGAGGGCGGTAGCACAATGCACGGCGCTCGCGCGTGTGCGTAGCTGGGAGAATCACGCCATGGCACCGCGCCTCCTGCGTTCGCAGGCTTCACTGCGCACCCTTCCGTCTCCGTTCTTCCGCGGCACGAACAAACCCGCGCTGGAATCAACGACGCTGTGGCGGGAAATTCGCTTCCGTTGCGCTGCCTTCGCGCGCCACCCAGCGTCGCTTCCTGCCGGTCTCCAGAGTAGGGGAGATGGTAATCGCACCGACTCCTGCCCCAAAAGCTCCGGCGTAGAGAGGTTTTAGCGCCAAGAGATGTTCGCCATCACGGTGTTTCCGTGGAGCTATGGTGCGCCTGTCGAGTGCCCCGACGAAGTGAATCATGCGGCACCAGAAAATATTTGAGCGTAGTTTATTCCTTTGGTTTTGTGTGTCTCATAATCATATCGCAATTTCGTGGCGTAAACATCTGTCTAATCAAGTGCAGCACCAGGTCGAATCGAAAAAGAAGAAGTGCCTGCTTCCACGAGCAAGTCCGTGATCACGAACACTTACAGCCAGCAATCGACCAAGATGGTTGAAAATAAATATAGTTCGTGATGTAGAACAGAAGTAGAACAGAAGTAGTGATGTAGAACAGAAGTAGTGAACAGAGTAACAAGAAAAACAAAAAGATTCCTTTCATTTACATAGAACGCAGTTGTCTAGTCTCGTCTCCGCAACATTCGCGCTTTCAGAAGGGTCAAGCGTGTTCGATCTCCCGATGAAGAGGCCACTCACAGTCGTCGACAATAGTCGCGGGAAAGAAGCTTACGCACGGCAAAGGCTAATATGACATTAGAGTACAGGTGCTTAATGCGCCGATTGGCGGTCCAATAACTAAAGATTGTCTTTCGGGAAACATTCCTGACGATGTTTTCATTGGCGTGCATCTAAAGCGAAGGCTTCTATTAACAATAATTGATGGAATTCCACGGCCCAAAACCACGCCATGATTTTAACAGACGCTGCTGCGGAGGACACCGGAAATTTCAAGAACTCGGGTTTCCTTAACGTGCACCTGAATATAAATACACAGCCTCGATCACTTTCGCTTTCATCGAAAATACAGCCACTGGGACCTAGATTCAACCTTGCTATGATTATTGCATGCTTTGTAAATGTGTCAATAAGAGTGGTTCGGTCAAAACGCGATGAAACTATACTATCACATCAAAGCTCTGCAAAGAGTGTTCAATTATGAGGATTCATAAAAGCTACCTGAGTACCTTACAAAACAAAAGAAATGCCTGACGAAGGGAAGGCCAACAGCTTTGCTGTTTCATCTGTGTACGGAACGGGTTAGATGTTTTCCCTGTAGCAAAAATCTGAGGGTGGTTTTCGGATAATAACGAAAACATAAATACCAACTTATAACACAACCGGAAATTATTTATTATCGTATTCATAATGCAGCCACATAATACCAACTGAATATTCTGTCTATGTGAGTGCCATCGCACACTAATATAGAGAATATCAAGCTCTATAACTACTCACGTATGCTTTTACACCCTTTCTCCGGAACTGTTAGGTCTTCCGGAATAAAAACATGAATCTCTTGACAGTTTATAAACGACGTCTTGAAGACATTGACGACATGAGAGCCCTATGGACGCCCAAAAATAATAACCCCGCTTTTTACAAGTAAACCCAAAACAAACAAGGCAAGAGAAAAGACAAAAATAAAGCGATGCAGAGACCGGAGGACGACAATGGAAAAGCAGGCAGGCGCTGCCGTGCTCCCAAAAATTTCTTCGCACGGACACTCGTAGTATTTGCTCGTTCATCGTCGCTAACGACTCCTCTTCTCGTGGGCTCGAGTCGGCTTGCTCGCAATTTGCGAACTTAGAGCGTTTTTATTTTATCTTTTTTTTCCTTATACAAGGGAAAAAGTGAGAATGACGCAAGATAGAAAAAAAAAGTATAGATGAGTTGCCTGGAGGTAACGGGCGCTGATAATGACGCCGGCATATTTAACGCCGCAGGCTATTCGTTGCACGGTGCACGTGGCAGAAGAGAACCTGGAAGCCATCGATGTACTTGCGCTCCTGTAAAATTGATTCAATCTCCACCATCACCGGTCTTGACGTACAGCTTTCTTTCCTCCTTCTTTATCGTTGATTTCCCCTTTGTACAAGTTTTTTGTTCACGGTGCCGCCTTCAGAGGGGTAAAAAAACCTTGTGTTCTTTACATTATCTCATTGCCTGGTGGCGTAGTTCGCACCATTAATTACGGCACTATCATTCACCGTGCTTGGCCGATTGCGCTTAGTAGTTTAGTGGTTGTGAGGGCCTTGTGTTCATCTGCCCTTACACGTTATTCTAATTCTTTTCATTTGATGCGTGCATTTTTTTTGTATTAGATACACTGTATCTGACGAGTGCAGTTTTTGTTCAGTCCACTTGACTTTCGCCTCTAGGGTTTCTTACAAGACGTTCCTTCGCATAGCTGGGTGACTCGCTTACGTTACATATCCCAAGACGTGCCCCGGTTGTTCAATACAAAATGCACGTATTTGTACGTTTGAAGCAGTGTCCTATACATAGTCCGCTAAGGTGCAGCAGTCCTCAGCTGCTCGCCAAATAGTCACGGGTTTGATAGCGACCATGGCGGTAACCCTTCAAGAGAGGCGAAATGGTATAGGGCCGTTAATTGTGCAATATCAGTGCCCGTTAACGAACACCAGATGCTCGAAATTTTCAGAAACCTCCACTACGGCGTCTCTCTTAATCATATCATGGTTTGAAGAGGTAAAATTTCAGACATTACAATTAGTGCTATATTTGTTATTGTTCCGATGCACTGCGTTCGTCAACTCCAAATGTCGTGAAACTGATACCTTCCTCAGCGTTGCTACTGCCTCGTAAATTGGCGGATAATTTGTCTCACGCTGAGAATAGTTGCAGCTGAGAAACAGAAGATCAATGAATTAGATCACATGAAAAGAATCGCTACACTTTGCGGTGCGATAAAGTACCGTTAACTGACGTTCTTGACATACGTGATTTAACAAGTGTGGTGATTGGTACGGCGTGCGTATCCATGAATACGTGCGTTTGTATAGGTGCAGGTGAGCTAAATGAGCACTAATGCACGGAAAGGAGCGAAAAAGGAAAGATTGAAGTGAGTGAGTGAGTGAGTGAGTTGTCGTAAAG